AACTTTCTATGTCTAGGTTTTGCTGTGTGTAAGTTTGTTGTCAGCATTATCATCCTACAAACACACCTGAACTATATATATATATGTGTGTGTGTATATGTGTATATATATATATGTGTATATGTGTATATATATATATACATACTATTATATATATATACACAGATATAGAGAGAGATATACATAAATGTTCACTTGAAACCACGGCACGGTGAATTGTGGTGCCAACATCGCTGCTTCACTGGCCGCCGCGCGGAAGGCCACCTCCGAGCCACCTCGCAGAGCAACTTTGGCGATTGATGATCTCGGTGCCACTTAGCTCATCTAACTTCGTGTTTCCGTTAAAATTCGAACTTGGGTGAAAAGATGGGAACGGGATGTCCAGGGGGTGAAAGCTATAGCATCCCAGGGCATCCCGAACCCCCAAAACGATCGAAAGGCTGCAACAACATGCAGGCAGGAATTTCTCCTTGCCATCCTAACACTCACGGAAGCTGTATAAAGCTGAGAACTCACTCTGAGGTGACGTGCAGCCCGACTCCAGAGACTCAGGCCGGCCGGAACCTGCCCATCCCAAACTCTGCGCTGCCAAGGCAGCATGCGGCACGCAAAAACCTCAGATCATCTCAGATCCTAGAGGCAATCGAGGGCAGCTACTGCAGAGTACTTGGCAGCAGCTGAAGGGCCGTGCATCGATCATGCCTTGATGTCACTCCGAAAGCCTGAAGTAACTAAAAACCAACTCTGGACTCTGCAAAGTACAACACGGGCTTGCAAGGCCGATGACACAGTGCGACCAATGCTGCTGCCAACTCCTCGGCTCGTCTTCCGGCCCGGGGGGTTTCGGGATTCAGGGCATAGGACGTACAGTTCAGGATCTAACAAGCATCGAAACTTCAGTTTGTCTCTGGGCGTTTTAATTCCCAAATAACAAACCTTACGTATAATGTATTACACTTGTAACTTAAAATCAAAACCGCACGAATGCAGAGGTAACTACACGGTCGACCGCGTTGCAAAGACAACTACAACAAGTTGAAAAGTGTGGAAGCAAACCTTGCAGTACCCTGCTGGTGCCCTCAAAGTACCCTCAAAGTACCCTCATGCTACCCTTAGAGTGCCCTTATGAACCAAGTGATCCTGTGAAGCCGACAAGCTGCGCTGCTCGACACGGATGTGCCAAGGGAAAAAATGCCAAGGCAAAGCCTGCAGCGAGTTGCAAGGATAGTAGCCAAATGAATTTAAGGATACGTTTTTATGGGTTTATTACTGCAAGGATACAAACAGGCTAGCTAAATAAGGGAACTTGGATAAGATTGTGAGATTAGTATAATATTGCTACAAGGTACTGTAACTGTACTCCATGGTTACTTTGAAGACAAAATAAGCTCCTATAACTTTTCGGATGCTATAAGGTGTAAGATTGCTATAAGGGTACAATAGGATTACTACGAGGTCACTGCTAGTACCAGGTTACAGTCAGGATACCATAAGGTTACGATAAGGGTACTATAGGGGTTAGGTTCAAGCCACCATAAATCTACCGTAAAGTTGGCGTAAGGGTAGTATATCTGTACTGCCGTTAACTGTAAGGGCACAAGTATCATCTGGCCGGAAACCTGCTGCCGTCCGGACTGTACTGATTGACTTGTACCGGTGTAGGACAATAGCAATTGCGAAAACAGCTCTGCAAAATGCGGCCATGGAACATAAGTATGCACAAGAAAATGCAGCCGAAGCTTAGTCGGTGAGCCAAAGCAATGAAATCTTTGTTGCGGCGGGACTGCGAGATAGCCATCCTGGGTGCACATCGTGGCCGGCTGGCACGTCGCAGGAAACTACGGAGATGCAATACGCCACTAACTGCACAGACCAGCCACAACCTTGGAATGATGGATTCCTTCTGATCCAGTGGCAACCCCATGCCCTCTTGGTCGATGCGAAGCGATCGAATGATCGTGAGGAGGACCCCGGCCAACCACCATACGATGCCGCATACAAATGTCAGCCTGAAGTGTTCCCGAGTGCTTGACTCATAGGGATTCATAGAGTAGCACACACGAGCAGAGACACACGCACACACCCACAGACACACACGCACACACACACACACATGCGACCACGGAAGCTGGACAGTCAAGTAGGGATGGCACTGTTCAGCTACGCGGAGGAACCAGGGCAGTTGTGCGTTCCAACCTTTGGTTGACAAACGCACGGCGTGGAGCAGCAGGGCAGCGACGAGGGCATAAGAAACCTGACATCAACTTGCACGAAACTGCAAGTGACACATCACTCTGCACCGACAAGTTCAGATTCACCTGTTGCTCAACAAAGCAGCTGCCCAGCAATGCGCCGCGCCACACGACAGCACGGAGCCAGTGCTGGCACTAAAAGTACGGAAGCGACGCTCCTGCGATGCCCAAGTTATGGTGAGCATGCCGAGCAGTCAAACCAAGCATGTCATGATGCTCACGACCGTGCTTTGTCTGTTGGTTCGGCTCCAAACCGCCCGCCTTGTAGAGAAACCAAGTAATGATGCCGCGCACGCACAGGTAAAGAAGAGGTTGCATGACACTTTGGCGGCTACATGTGGGAGCAGAAATTTCGTGAGAACATGAGCATGCAAAAGCGTGGGCTTGCTCCTGGCAGAGACGCAGGTATGATTGGTCTAAACACTGTATATGTAGATCTATATATTTATATATAACGTGTGATTATGACAATGATGCAGCGATGGTCAACACAGTTCGCAAGTCTGACGACCTGGATGCTGTAGTCTGGCTGGAGTGCTAGCATCATCTTCGCTACTGGTCTCAATTTCCCTATGCTTTAAACGAACCTGCGGCCATGCGCTGTGAATGTTCACGTCACATGGCACATGCTCAGACCGTGATCCCGCACAGATGCAAGCTTGAACCACGGGGGCACGGGGGTTTGCCGGCGCTACTCGTAACACATGCGCCCACATAGATCATTTCACACCCAACTCCTGTTGCACCCAAGCACTTGAAACCAAAAAGCAAGATGACCTTGCCACCATTGGCCATTGGCAACTAACATTTCACTGTCTTGCCGCACAGAAATCCTGGAGGCCAAGATCTGGCCAATTCCGGACATTGTGTCGATGCTTTTGGCAAGCTGGGGCTCAGAGTTCAGCCGGTTTAAGGTTTAGGGCTACTGCCCTGAAGATGCCAGGGCCACCACAAACGCAGAGCCCCGTAGACGCAGTGCTTTAGAAAGCTTCACGGAAGATGCTCCGTGACCCTGCTCCAAGAGATCCCCAAAGCCTAGTAGTCCTAAGATGTCCCAAGCCCTGGGCCCTCAACCAATACGCAAAATACCGAAAGCCCCCTCAAAATTCCGAAACTTCCGAGCTGAGCTTCTTCCCTGCTCTGCGAGTGCAGGTTCGAGGTTTTGGATTTTGGGGTTTAGGGTTTACGGTTTAACCCAAAAGTTACGAAGACAATCCCACAGTAGCAGGCATGAGATCACTAATTAAGAACAGCTGCCTGTGATTTTCCCGCAGTCTTTGTGCGCTGTCGCAAAGTGAGAGCTGCCCACTTCGTCGATGAAAGGCACAGGATTGCTTTGGAGCAATTCAGAGGACAATGCCACAGGAGGTTGGGGCCCGCAGAGGAGCGGTAGGGTTTCCAAGTTCGACGTGGCGTCGCCAGGTGCAAAACGAGTCGTGGAACTCGATCCAACCAGTCTCTGGCGCTCTACAACGCAGCATTGAGCGGCCGCCGCTGCCTGTAGAAAGTCAGATCCCCTTCGCCTTTGAGCTGCAAGCTGCAAATGTCAGCGATCGTCCAGTTCTTGGAGCCTGCCAGCCTTCTGGGCTTGATTCAATATCAGAGTCATGCCAAAAACAACATCAAGGACTGAAGGATGGTGACACCAATGCCGACTGAGCTAAAGCTGACTAGTCGCAGTGCTGCCGCCAAGCTCAGTGCTGCTTCTCATTGTGACGTGTTGTACTACTGACATTGGTGCAGCAAAGGGTTTTGACATGTTTTGACGACTACTACTGTTGAAGATAAATCCTGCATTACCTTAAGGACCCTAAACTATGGGAATTATGGCATATTCCTTATTATGGGTCATGCAGGATTTATACCATAAACCCTAGTAGGTCTTTTTGATCGCCAGCCTGCAGATCGGCTTGAAGCCGAGCTTCATCATCTCAGCAACAATGTGATCGCACATCGGCTGGTTCACATACCTTGAGGACGAATCTTGAAAGCAAATAAGACAAGAGACCCATTCGAGTATCTTTTCGTAGGTTGTAGCGTGTTCTATCTGAGTCAAATAAAGTCGAGGCACACTGACTCGTGACTTTTTGGAAGGGCTTCCATCTGAATCCTACGCACCTTGTGCATCTGAGATCCGAGGGAACGAACCACGTCCAAGTCCTTCCCTTGGGCATCAATCTTCAAGAAAGATATATGGCCACCTAGAAGCCAATCCCGAATCACAGTCTCCAGGGAGATGCAGGGCACCAGCCGTACATCCATCTCTTTGGCGCATGTGTCCTTCAAGTCCTTGAACCAGTGCGACCACCCCTGTCCCCGAAAACCTTCAGAAATGTTGAGGAGACTGCTGCATACATCGGCCAGGCCGACGTGGAACAAGGCCACTTCGTCGGATGCGGGGCAACCAACTGCATACGGCAGCATGACACCTCTCGAATAGTGGGCCCCTATGGTGCTTGCCTCATCTGAATTCACAACCGAAGGCCAAGATGTAATGAGGTCGGCGTATTTGTCAAGGAGAGGCTCGAAAGACAGCAGGAATCGTCTGTCGGTTGGCGGCAAGCTGTCTCGCAGCAGAATCACGTTATTGGTGCCGACTTCCAGCATGAACTCGGTCGGAGCCTCTAGGTGGGCCCAATTCTTGGAAAAAGGCACCGGTGCCACCTGGAGTGGAGCAACCAATAGTTGCAATAGCTCCTTTCGCTGGAGGCGCCCTGGGAGCGGAGAATGTGATGATGCGCAGGACCCTCTTCCCTGTCTAAATTCCGCAATCTTGTACAACTCCTGATGTGTTGCACACACTTCCACATCTCTTCCACCTTGTCGCGGCACAAAACCCAAAACCGCGAGTGTACGTAGCGTCTCCAAACACTCAGACTGTATTGCCGGAAGCTGCAAGTAAATCTGCTCTACCCTCCCAGCAAGTGCACCTAGAGACTGGAGTGCTCGCAAAGGATGACTGGACAACTTCATGGCTGCAACGCAGTGTCCACGAAGCCAATGATTAATAACATCTGCGAGGGATAAGCATGGCACGCTCACACCATCCACCAGAATGCTGCACCTTCGCCTTGCCCACCTTTGCCAGCCTCTCTTGCCCACTGCTGTAGTCACGCCGAAGTCAGTGCTGCAACCATGCGCATTGCTACATCCAAGCGCGAACGGCAAGATCATGGATCGGTTCGTTTGCCAGCCCAAAGCTCGAAACTGCATCGACCCGACCCCCGCACTTGTCATGACTCTCAAGTAGCGCCCGAAGTGTGGCTCGAAGGTTATCAGGAAGCCTGTTTCCAGCCTCGCACCCAGCTCGTCGCGAAAAAAATGGCCCTCTGTTGCTCCAACTTCTATGAAGAACTCTGTGGGTGACGTCGCCAAATGGTCCCAGTTGCTTTCCAAGGGCAGCCTTCCCACATGGATAGGTGCAATAAGACCTACAGCCGGTGCAAACGCAAGCCACTGTAAAGCGAAAGGGACACCATGAATATACATCACTAGAACGACTGCTCAGCCGGGACGTTCAAGTTCCATGGCAGTGTTACCGGAACCGGATCTCATGTCCGACTCTGCCCCTGAACACACCAAGCCCAGCAATGTCAGCAATGTCGCTGAGAACGACCGAGGATGTCTGGCAATGTCCATCATTGCACACATCTTAATCCCCGACAGCAACGGACGGGTGCTGCATTAGACCTTTGGGAACATGTTCGGTACTTCGATGCTTAGCATAACACTTCCTCTCAGTCACGATGCATTTGGAAAGGAATAGTTGAGACATGTTTAGACATGGACACACCACAACACTAGTTGCCAGCCCGGACCCTGAACATGATATCATGCTGAAAAGCTGAGGCTGAACATGCGTGCAACTGCGACCGTGCGCTATCGTGAGACCTTGACGCCTGGATTTCCTGGCCAGCAACCGTCCGCATCATTTTCTCGATGAAACTCGCAAGCGATGACACAATCCCGATAGATGAAACATGTAGTGTTGCTCTTGGGACCCCTGGAAATGCCGTGCATGCCGCGAGCTGTCTCCGCTTGCCTTTAACATTGTTGGGGCGCTGAGCTGAGTCCTTTCACGTTGCTCTCCCGTGCACATGGCATTCAACGTCTGAAGGAAACGTGATTTTTGTTGTCGTTCCGTGCTTCTTTCTTCAACAGTGCAAAACGTCCCCAATGAAGAACACGAACTATGTAGGGCCCTTGCAAGCAAGCTGCTAACCGTTGAAGTGTCGAGAGCGGGCTGGGTTGCTGTTGGTTTTCTTGTTCACCCATGCTGGACCACCGTGAGGTACCTTCCACATGCAGCTCAAGCTTGGGCAATGTTGTGGTGATTCCGTTTTGAACTCGACCTGTTGCGCGAGTCCGCCCGCGACCACTTACGAAAGGCTTGAGCTCCAGAAACCGCGAGCCTCGCTTGGGAAATTCATTACACGATGCATGACCTTTCTATCACATCGAAACTATTTTCGACGTCGGCCTTTCCTAGCAAGTGACTGCCTTGCCACACATCGACAAGCTTATTGTTGCAAGGTCATGCCATCCAGCAAGAGTCCGGTGCATTCGGCCAATAGCCAAACGCGATTAGTCGCAAAGAAAAAGCCTTAATATGTCCTGTATTGGCTGAGTAAGTCTGTGCAGTCAACATCGCTTAACCACGGCATTTTGCCACCCGTGCAATTTTCCCGTCTCCGGCTGTGAATCTGGTCAGCAGCAACTGCAGCGGAGCTTGGGCTGACACACCCAGTAATGGCAAGGCCTTCTGCATGGTCGTACTCGTAGCGGGGGTCCGGGGTCGGAGGTGAAGCAAACGATCAAGTCTTTTTTCGTTCCATTGTTGCTCCAAGGCGGCAACGAGGTCACGACAACCCCGATGCGACATGTTTAGCAAAACAGGGCGCACCGCCGGAGATCCTCAAGCACAGCAAAGCATGTGACGCTTTCGCTTTCGCCCGTCCGAGTCCGCTGATGAAGACTACGGTCCTATAAGGACATGGGGGATAAAGAACACGCATTCAAGCAGATTCGTCACTGTACAACTTGGACAAACTCGTTGACGAAATCGTCTGATCTGCGTTTCCATGCACTACGTGCGGCTACATACATCCAACACTGCGTGTCGGGAAACACTAGCTTGCAGAAAACTCGCAGCTTATCATCCCATCGGGTCAGTGGGCGTCCTTGTCGGCGCTTGGGTGCCAAAGAAAAGCTGTCATGCCAGTTCGTCACCCAACCATTGGTCTGCGCAACTCGGGACAAATGAAATAACGTTTTCAGCAGCAGACGTAGTAGTGCCAACCATCACGCGAACGCCAACATCACAAGCATGATTAATCCAGCAGCTGTAGCTCCCCGACCCCAGAATCACGAGTTCGCACATCTCTCTGACACCCCTTGGTCAGACGAGCTGCTGCTCCTGTAGAGCATGGGATGTGCAATCTGCGAGGTTTCAAGTTTACAGGCTGCAAAATTTGAGATGAAGGTTCGGGGGTGAGCAGTACAGCGAAGCAGACACATCGAAACATGCACATCGCGAAGAAGCTGGGTTTAGACTTTTCACGAACCTTCCCATGTCAATGTGAAGGCATGCACTGGCTCAGTAGGGGAGCCACTCTCCGCTCCTGTCAAATCCGGTTCATGCTGCGGCCACCCATCCATAGACCCGTGGACCTCACGTGTCGCGTGCCCAGCCGACTTCGCCCCACGCTTGCCCGGCTCTTAGAAAATCTCCAACCCTGTGAGTCCCGAACTTCGGATGAAATCCGATGCGCAGCGGTCGGCTCAAACCGAAACGCCGCGAGACTCAGAACGATGATTACAAGCGTTCCTGTAAGTCGATGATCGAGGGAACCGGTCGGAAAAATATTTCAGGGCGCGCGGCTTAAATGCTCCCCGCTGGTTGGTTACGGATGGCTCGTGAAAGACTTCTCTTGGGCTTCACGACGTTCAGGGGAGTAACAGGCTCCGATGCACAGACCCTGTTCTGGCGCACTGGCATAGGCGTAAGGGGGGCTTCTTCTGCTCCGTGAACTACCACGATAGCTGACGTAACTACGACTCTTGATTGGCAAATCCTGCTCGGGAAATACCCTGAAGTGCCATCATGGCCTTGAAACAGAAACACTGCCCACATGAGTGTTGCAATCAACCTGGAAACTTCGGAAACTTGGCGGCCCACCTCTTGGAACCATGCTACGGCCTCTTTCTGGTTTGATGCGTAGCTACAGCCGGAGAGGAATGCCTAGAAACGACCGTGGGTCACGGTCAGAACAGTGAAACAAGCTGTACGACCTTACAATGTGTGGTGTCACACATCGTGCAACTATGTGCGAAACTCAATCGCATCACAACGTGTCACATCTCACACGCCTCTGCGGCTTGGCAGACTGTAGCAACAAACTGCACATTGTGCACAATCTGTCTTGCTGTGTTGGTTCCGGCACGAGTGTTGAAAAGACATTGCAAACACAAGACTGGGTTCATGCCAACCTGAGATCGCCATCTACGTCTGGATGCGGCGTGCGTGCTACATTCGAGCAATGCATGGCTTAAAGTGTCGGGGCCACATGCGCAAAACCGGCATGGCACGGATCCCGTATTGGAATGACGTGCTGCGCGACCATCGCTGAAACAATGATGCCCACACCGAGCTAGTCCCCCAAACCGCGAGGAGACAGGGGAAAGGTGCCGGCTGTAAACTATGTGGTGTAGGTGTGGCCACGGCTGCAACTCAGCATGCAAGGCGAGCGACTCCGTAGCACACAGCGTCGCCGAGCACATTGCATGCGAATGCTGGCAAACCACCCTTTTCACATGCCGTAACCAACGCTTAACAACCGATGAAGCCGTACGCGGTCCAATCCCCCAATTGGCCGGATGAGCTACACCCATACACACGAGTTCATTTGCTGCGGCATGGATGAAGGAGGATTGCACATTTTCGCAAAATCAGCTATTCGGCCAGCCAAACATTTGCCGGTCAGTCAGTCAGTAAGCCTCGTGTACAAACACATGGGCCGACATACCGTCTTACAGGCGCTTAGCGCGTGCGAAGACAATATGTTTGGACGCAGCGACGCCATACGATTGAAGGCTGCTGCCAAATGTTAATCAAATTTTGTGTAGAACCCGCGGCATCTAAGGCAAGTCTGTACACTTCTGTGGCCCAGGTGTGTCGTGGTCTACCGCGTCGTCGAGCACAAGCAGACAGTGTCAGTTGAAAGGAACCATCTCGAAACACGCACTTGCGCATCACATCCTCTGACGGGAGCTGTGCAATACGCCCCAGAAGTTGCAGCTGTCGTTGTTGCAGAATGCGGGATAATTTAGCACAGTTCGCCTGTCGCAGAACATGTTCGTTTGTAACACGACTCACAAATGAGGGTGGGATGCGTAGAATCTGACGGAGACACCGAGCCTGAAAAGCATCCAGTTTGCAAATGTCGGCTTTTCCAAACCAACAAGTGTGTAGAGAATACATCAGCTTGGATATGACGCATGCTGAAAAGATCAGGACTTTCTTTGATGTGTCCAGCACTGCGTGTTTCCACACCCGGCATAAGGCATGAAAGTCAGCGGTTGCCAAGCCCAGTCTGCGGGTGAGTTCCGCAGTCGAATACATGTAGCAGGCCCCCCAAATAAACCATAAATTCCCGAATGCGGATGGGGGAACCGTCCGGTTTCGGGATGTGTGGTTCACAGTTGATAGGCAAAATCTCTACTTTCCGCCAGTTGAAAGATAGATCGTACTGCGAGCCGCATCGCTCAATGTCGCGCATATAAGTTGCAGCGAAGTCCGAATCCAGCGCTACCCGTAAGGTGTCATCGGCATACATTAATTCGTTGACGATGGCTTTCGGAAGATGGTTGGACAGCGTGTTCTTGACGGCATACGACGCGTCTGCAATAAGGACCGTCATCACGATTAAAAACAAAAACGGTGACAATGGGCAACCTTGTGATATTCCATGATGTTGGTCATATTTGTTCGACGTACACCCACAATCTCGAACTGTAAACTTTCTGTCGCTGCAGATGGAAACAACAATCTTTATGAAACTCGGCGGCACACCAAATCGCTCCAAGGCCATCGCGAGACTTGTCGGACTGATGTAGGTGATTAGATTTTAAATTTCGACGGAGCTTTCGGATCTCGTCCCAGTTGCCATTGGACAATAGATCATCCAACCATCGAGTGCGATCTTGCTTCACTGATTGTTTGATGTCGAGTGTATATGCACGTCCCATGATGCGGTCGTTGATACTCCTGCTGCGGTCCCGAGCTTCCAATAAACTGAGCGTGTGATCGCTGATCCATGGTCTTGCTGGTTTGAAACATGAGGTAGGTACGCAGCGCTGAGCCGCCGTGTAGAAGGCCTCTGTCATGTCGGCATAGAGCGCGTCTACAGACAAATTCCCAGGACTGACGTGCTGCATTTCGTCCTCGAATATCGCTGCAAATCGATTTGCATGAATGGGATTTTTCAACG